GTATTTATAGGGAAAAATCTCAACCACCCGTACCTAATTTCTACACCTCATTAAATGAGGTCATCATGCAATTTTGCATAATTTCAACCAAATCAAATTGTAGCCAGCAACTAGCCAGGCTGATGAAGAAATTTTTCGACGTATATGGCCGCAAATCCATGTTTTCACTGGGGCTGGATCATTTTGTCAATTCCAATCATTTCCCTATTACTTTCCATTTCTTCTAGATCACATCATTGGCACTTTTATATTCTTGAAGCATGAAAGGGTAGCAATATACAAGGCACTGTTATTTGGGGCCTTCAATGCTTTGGAAGAACTTTGAAACAGACAGAATTTATTGTCTGTGACATGTGAAAAATTTCACCTGATCAGATATTGTCACATTCATAATTGTAATGTGAACATTTCACATGAGATTGTTCCCAGTTCTGCTAATGAAATGGTTTGATCCACATACCATCTCTGTTTATTAGTTTTGCAGAGATTTTTGGTCACCCGCCCCACCCAAATTCCTTACTCTGTACAGACCTACTGTACTAGGAAAAAAAAAAATTCTAAGCTCTAGACATTGAAGGATTGAATATCTGTTTGCGTTTAGCTGTCTTTTATTGGAACTAATAATAGTTGGCCTCCATAAATATCCGGGAGCTGGCTCTCATCGATCTCTTCAAGCAGTGTTGATTTCAAATTCTTGTTCTCAACAAAAACTATCTGCAAGGATATGTAAATGAAGAATGTCTATATTGTAATTGGACAGTAGCTAGTTAAACTAGGGTAAAACCAATTTTGAGCCCCTCATCTTATAAAATTAGTAAGTTTTGATTCTTAACTTTATACTATGATATTTTTAACCTTTTACCTCACAAAATTAGTAAGTTTTAACTCCTCACCTTACAAAATTGGTAAGTTTTAGCCCCTTATCTTATATTATGACACTTTTAACCTCTTATATGTACAAATTGAAGAAAATAACCCTTATTTAATATCAAGTTATAATATTCTATTAGTTCTGTTAGCTGACTGTTAACATCCGTTAGTATTCTGTTAATGGAACTAACAAATAAAATTGAATTTAAATTTTATATTTTTTATAATAGAATGCTAACAGATATTAACAGTCAATTAACAGAACTAACAGAATGTTATAATCTAATATTAGGTGAGAGTTATTTTCTTTAATTCGTATTAGTAAAGGACTAAAAATATCATAATATAAGGTAAAGGGTTAAAATCTATCAATTTTGTAAGGCGATGGGTTAAAACTTATCAACTTGGTAAGATAAAGAATTAAAACTATTATATTATAAAATAAGGGGCTAAAACCTACTAATTTTGTAAGGTGAGGGGTTAAATATTGGTTTTTGCCGTTAAACGAGGCCAGAATCACCATTTCTTACCTTCTTCCTGGTCTTGTTATCAATGAAAGGGTAAACGATTTTCCATACTGTCATAAACAGGTATGGTGCATGCACAACAAACAATTTTTCAAGTCTTTCTGGGTAGTAGTCCTGCCATAGTCAGTAAACAAATGATGTTAGTGTTACCATTAACAATTCTTTCAAGTGCTGTGCCAACTTTTCTAATTAACTCTACATGTTCTCCTCTCTTATTGGTTTTTTCCATCACTAATATGGGGGTTAAAGGCCTAAACCTGGACAATGGATAGAGCTGCCATGTATCCATGGACGTCGCTGTTTGCATATCCCCAGCCTTCAAGGTCTCCAATCACAACAAACTTCTCCTGTCCTGGCGGCATCCTGATGAATCAAGGTTCCATCAGATACAACTTACAACATAGGCTCTTTAGTTCTTTTCCCCACAGTTTCTATCTTGCTCTGTTTTAAGTAGAAACTAAATCCCTTGTGGAGGCCAGACATGATTGATAGAAGGAGAAAGACGATTACCTTGCACATATTTTGTCAAGACCGTACGCTAAAAAGCCTGTAAAATACCATTCTCAGAAATCAGATTTGTTTAGCACATATTTGCTAGAGTGAGTTTGATAAATATTTCAGAATTGTAACTACATACGCTTGAATTCCTCCACACCTCCTTTGTTTTGAAAATGTCTAGCACCAAGAACAACTGTAATGGGTCTTCCTTTCTTATCTCCTCCTTGAAAAAACATCTTGTTCTGTGCAATCTCATTTGGGACTTCTGATGCTGAAATGGAACCATTTGGAACAAACATTCGTCTCCATTTCAGGTACTTGAGGAACATGGCAGAAGCTTTCTCTATGTCCAAGTCACGAGCTCGCAGAAACCTTCTGATCGTCAGATCATCTACTTCCTGCATCATCTTTCTCAAGTCATGTTCACAACAATCATACACTATGAACAATTTCTCTGTAAATTGACTACAGGAATTACAGTGAGACAAAACAGGGAAGAAACAGGAAGGAAGAAAAGCACCTTTGAAGAGGCATCTTGTTTTTCAAGCACGGCTCTCATGAGACTTATTTTTGTCTTCTCCACCTCATCACTTATCCTGCTGCTGTTTTCTTCTTGGTTTTCTCTGGACTCCATATATTCAAAAACCACCATTCTAAAGTTTCTCACTTTGAGCTGTTAGTTATAGAGGGAAGTTTAAATGCGAGGTGGTTGAGGAGTTGATAGGACATAGGTATCTGTCTTGCTTTAAGTTAGGGGTAGTAGCTTTATCCTGCAAGTAGTCAAGTTATCCTGGGAGTGGACGCTTTATCCTCTCTCTTATGAGGCGGGACCGCAGGAGGAAAATGAAAGGGAAGGTTTGGAGATAGCCGGGGGTGTAAAAGCACAGCGCTAGTTACCAGTTACAACCAAGACAGGAAGAGGTTTTATTTAATATTACTAATAGAAATAGTTAGATCACCTTATTTATCTACATGTATAGGTAAAATGAGTTTCTCTAACCTTCATATTTAGTGTTCAAATTAACAGTATATTTATTATATTTTTTATAAATGTTATTTTTAATATATATTAATGTTACCTAAATAATTTAATTGTTTGATTAATAAAATTAAAGTAAATTTTTATTTTTTATGTAAATCAATAATAAAAAAATGATAAATACATATTTAAATTGCACTTTAAAAGCATAAATAAAAAAAATTTAATAAATAGTTTTTTTAATTAAAAAATATATAATATTATATATAAAAATTATTTAATAATATATATAAAGAGACAAATAGATTGCCCATGATATTTTCTTCCTCTCTGAAGTTTGTTTCCTTTGAATAATTGTACTTCTTTTCATAGTTTATTGCCTTGCAATTATAGTTGGTAATCCACTACTCTAGCTACCTTTTACCGTGATATTACAGATTACTCTCAGTCAATATATAGAGGCTAGTTCATTTCAATCTATTGCTCTTTTCCAGTTGCTGAGAAACTCTTCGCAAATCTATTACCGATTGATTTCTAGTAGCCAAAACCTCATTATAGACTGCTAAAATAGTTGCTGAACATGTTTCAGATTCTTTTTGTCTTTCGGAGTTAGTATCATTTAAGTTACTTGGTTTGCCTTTTAACAGATTTGAGTTGTTTGTGTTTACCAACTAGAATCCTGGAATAGGGGGAAACAGGGACAGGAAGAGAAAAAGATATAGGCTAAAGGATTTATGATATATAATAATGACAAAAAAAAAATGTTGTACAGTCTTACAAAGACTGCTAGAATGCACTAAAATTGTCCTCAATCGAGGGTGGACCTTCTCCATCAACAGTCTCAACTTCACAACTTGGTCATTGTGGACTCTACAATATTAAGGCTTGTCTTTCCATTAGCCTTTGCAGTGGATTCTACGTCGTTGAATTGCCATAGGCGATCATATAGTAGTTTAGGTTTTATTTTCCTGCTTGTGAGACTGCATGCGTAGATTTACTGCATTTCGTATTCATGCTTGTTTGTAGATTTTTTTTTTCTTTCGTTCGCACACTTTGCTTGGTGTCTGTAGTTGAAGCATGTTAAAAAATCATTTAAAAAAATAATTAGTATATATTTAATTTAATACACTTTCTCCTATTTATTTAATTTAATTATTAAAATAAAATATAAGTATAATCTGATTCAGTATATTTCTACAATCATTTATATGTATGATTATATTTTTAAATTTATTTATTTTTAATTTTATACTAAAAAATGATAAATTTTTAATAAATATATTATATAATATATTAAACTAAAATATATATCAATCAATATATTTTCCAAATATCTTCTTTGGTTTTCTTGTAATACTATTAACGACTTGGCTACATGTCTATAATATAAACTGAAACGAAATAAAGCTGATAATATTCAAGCAACAAAAGTGGAGGTTGAGGTTTTCCTCTAGTGAAATGAGTACCTAACATACCAAACACTTGATAAAGACGTTTTAGTCAATACACTGTGTGATGATCTTGATTATTTTCTTAACTCTTTCTCAAAATAAAGTGGCTCCTCCTCTCCGTGTTTGGAGTGCATCTTAACAGCCCCAAGTGTTAGGTTCAATTTCCATTCCCCTAACTTCTAAAATTGTAGTTGTTTAAAAAAGATTGCAGAAACAAAGCTGAGAAAATGGTGAAGGTGGGTTATATGAGACAATATTTTTTTAGAGTATTAATTTAAAACTTCATATTTTTATTAAAATAGATTGTCAAGACCTGTAATAAATAGTTGACTCGATTTGTAGACCCTAGCTACCAATAATGTCAAAAACTTACTTCTCAAAATAATACAAGCATACCATGGGAAAATTAAATTCCAACCACTTAAAAGGATTGAATTGAAAGTTTTTAAAAAATAATAATGGGGTGTGATTTGCACTTATTTTATTTTATTATTGTTTTTTAATTTAGGATCTTCCCATCACATCCTAATCATGATCCATGATTATGAAAAATATAAATTAAAAGTTTATTAAAAAATTAAATAACGGCTAAAACATAAAAGAAAAAAAAATAATGATAACTCCAAATAAAACAATGAGACTTACTTCATGACAAAGAATTTTTAAATTTTAAAAAAGTTAAATCATGTTTATAATAAAACTTTGATTCGTTATTTATATCGCAATAAGAACTAAAGATACAAACTTTAACCTTTTATATATGATGCAACAAGAACCAAAGAAATAAAGTTGGTTGATACCACACATTTGAATGATTAAGAAAAAAAATGATAAATACATATTTAAATTGCACTTTAAAAGCATAAATAAAAAAAATTTAATAAATAGTTTTTTTAATTAAAAAATATATAATATT